TAACCACAGCAACCTGAGCCTGACTGCTTTGTTGAAGCAGCCACTTAAAGAACTGAGCTAAGGGGCAGGCCCCCGAAAAAACTCTTATGGTAGCCCCAGAATTTTACTCCCTTTTGGATTCTTGGTATTTTTCTCTATTACTTATGTCACTTACAAGATTTTATGTAGACTTCCTTAAATTTTTATTTATCCCCAGTTTTTCTACATTGTCCGTACCTCTCTATGTACAGATTTATACATGCTCATACACTCTCTCATTTGGTCAACATTTTTTGAGACTCTACATCTAGATAGACAGACAAATCAATTACTGTGCTGGGGATGGAGATGCATATGACCATGTGTGCCCTCGAGATGCTTTCTCTAGGAGACCAACAGGTAAAACAACAGTGAGTTCATGGCATGAAAAGTTGTGTCCACAGTAGCACAGTAGCATACTGTTCTGAAACAACTCAAGAAACTGATATCCTCAGGGATTTAGCCCCAGTGGTAGAGTGCTTGCCTTGCAAGCACAAAATTTGGTTCTCAGCCCCAAGAATGATTTTTTTTTTTTGGTTGTGAATCGAACACATGGTATCCTGCACCTGACTGCATTTGCATGAGCAGGGGCTTGAACAACTGAGCTAATGGGCAGGCCCCCTCTCAGCCCCAAGAAATTTACTTCAGAAGTCAATGAAAGAGTGCATAACAGGATTTTTGACCCACCTCCTGACTTCATCAGTTAAGTAAACAATGTGCTCCTGCATTCTGCGTAGCCGGATTTCATAACGCACTTCCTTGGCTTGAGGGTTGTAGTTCCTAGCATAAAAGCCCCGCCAACAGGCCTGAAGTTTGGTGACTGCTCCATTTAATTTCTGAAGAGAAAGTTTATCTTGTCCCAAAACAACACATCTCTGAGATAAAATGCTGCAGGGAAGTTTCTCTGAAGTTTTTTCAGACATGGTTTCTTCACTATCTGGCTCTATAGGAGAGACATTGTGTCCAGCTGACTCAGGAAAACATGTAAGACTCTGGTTATCATTCTTTGAGACAGCATTAACTTTCACTGGCTCAAGATGAGATAATAGTTCATCTTTCTCATTTACCTCTGTATTGATCTTACTTTTTAATAGCTGAACAGAATTCTCATTTGTTCCCTGTAATGACTTTTCCTTTTCTTTATCCATGTCCTGGTTTTCCAGCCCCTTCACAGATTCATCCATTACATCACCATCTTCTAGGCCCAAGTTAATGCCCTGTAGCCTCAGTTCAACTGTAGGTGACACGGGAGACAGTCCTGATGCAACTGGCATAAAAGTAGATTCTGAAGAAAGAAGACTGCAGTTTAGCTTGTCTTCGTCTGTCTGTATGTCTTCCAGGTGCAGGTCATTTCGAGAATATCTTGCAGTGTGCACAGAGGCTGGAAAGTTATTCTTAGCAGCATACAACTGGTCATCATTGTTGCTTATCCCAACCCAAGAATTGACCTGGACGACAGGTTCTACAAGAATCAATACATCATTGTTTAACTCGCTAAATATTTAAAGAGCTTTCTTAGTTGTATCCTTTTAATGATATCTAATTCCTGAAATATAGTAAAATAAATATATGATTTCCTACAATATACCTAAAACATTTTTTGGGTGTTTTTTTTTTTTTTTTTTTTT